GACGGCTTAGAGGAGGCAACCGTTAGTCGTACGGAGCGCGACGGGAAGTGACCGTTTTTACAGCTTCGGTACCTATCTGGAAAATAGGGAGGGTGCTATACCTACGTGCACCCGGGGCGGCTCACCCGAGGCACTAGCCTCTAGAGAACCGGATGAAGTCAAGTGACAAAGGTCTATGACAACCCCGTATTCTGGCTGATCTGGGGACAGAACCTGAACTTATAAGGTTCCTGTGCGCACACATGTTATAGTGCCAACCAAGAGATTGATAGGGAGGGTCACTATAACCAAAAGTTTACATAACTTTTGATGTATGGGAGCTGTTTATTAGCTTTAACGTTGACATTTCAACCACTTACAAAATTTTCCAGGTTAAAAGTCTAAGCTTACAAGGTACCAAAATTCTTTTGTAATGCCTTTTTTAATTTTTTTTAATTGACTGTCCTTCATGGTCCTTTGTTTTGATGCCATTTTAGAGCAGTTTTTACATTGATTTCACGGCATCGGATTAAATCTTAGAGGATGGAAAGTTAGGAATAAATCCATCAAACCAAAACTTTTTATATATATGATATATATAGATAAAATACGAAAGGAACTTTTATTCATCATCCATATACAACCTTTTTTAACCTCTTTGATATTGTCACAAAAAACGTAGAGGACAGAAACCTTAGACTATGGTTTTCTTTTCCATCTTAAATGACAAAAAACAAAAACACTACAATGTGTTACGTCAAGTCAGTTTACTCGCTCGGAATTTAAAAAAAAATATGATCAATGATCAGTTTGATAACAAACGCGCGTATCTATGCAGTTTTTCCAAGAATTTCTTAATATTGCGTCTTTCCTGACAAATTTTCTTGTTCCTTGACTGCGTGTCATTATATGCGGGCAAATATAAGGTATTATAATTGTTTTCTTTTTATTTTATGCCGCCGTATTTCTTATGATCAGCATTTCTAAGTTAAGGTATTTCGAGTCTATAGACGTACTATAATGTAGTGAATTGATGTAATAGAAGTATACTTGGAAATATAAAAAACAATATGTTTTAAAACAGGACTGTTATATTTACGAGCCAACAAAAAGCGTACGTAAGAATGAGAACATCGCGCCGACGGATGCAAGTTATTCTTGTAATAGCGTATTTGCTAATATTTGGAACTTTGTACCTGTTAATGCCTTTAAAGGACGTGTGCGTGGATATAAAGTTAGAATCTGACATGCGTAGAATGAAGACTCTGCTCCGCCTGACGGCAATGTTGAGGATGAAAGGAGAAAAAGGGTCAGGATGCACCATGCCCAAGGTACACACGTTTCTTGAAAATATTGTGTTAACGAACGGCAACATATCCAGGACAACGAGCGCGGAAAGAGATTGGGTCACGTGCTCAGCGGACAAGTGCTTCGTTCTGCAAGACATATTGAACGAGTTCAAAGCGGTCGAGTGTTACTATAGCGACGTCATCTTCATCAACGATTATGAACATTACACAACGTTTCCCATTAAACTGGACGGTAGAGAAAGGTATACCTTAGAAAGGTCGGATCATGTTAAAATATCTTGCGTCCAAAAGACCTTTCGTCCGTTTCAACTGTTTACACCTCGGTGGAATGGCTTGAAGGCCGGGTTTCGTAAAGTCTCAGTAGCGGTACCTCGCAGTCGCGAAGATTCGCCCAATGTGCTCATACTTTGCCTACGTTCCTTGTCACACAAGGACGCCTTGCAACGTTTGCCACACACATATAAAGTCCTGACGCAGAAGCTCGGCGCAGTTGTGCTTAAAGGGTATAATATTATAGATGAAGGCCCGCAGGCGGCGTTGTTCCCTATTCTAACAGGAAAAACTGAACTCGAATTGAATAATGCGCTGGAAAAAGACGAACTGGATCCAAAGTATTTTCTATTCGGCCAGTTGCATTCCGACGGCTATCGCACCGCGTACTTCGAAGATTTGCCTTTGTTAAGTACTTTACAGTTACATTTCCGACGCCAGCCGACAGATCATTACTTAAGACCTCTTTTCCTGGAACAGCGCGAAATGTCGGAAAAGTGTCGACAAACCACACACGACTGCGTCGCAGCCGCGCCCATACACTCTCAAATGATAAACTTAACGCATCAGTTTAGTTATATACGAGATAAACGCTTCAGCTTTACAATAATATCTAATATTTTTAGTGAATATCATGATTTGGTAGCCGTGGACAATGAAATATCATATATGTTGAACTCATTGCAAGCAGGTGGATTTTTAGTGAATACTTTACTTATTGTCATGTCTGACCGTGGGTCCATGTTTCCGGAACTGACAATGACCCATCAGGACGCTGTTGGAGAACGACTCCCGTTTATGTCCATAGTTTTGCCAGATACATTAAAAAAAGCTCGACCTGATGCTGAGAAGTTTTTGAGAACTAACGCGAACGTCCTCACCACACCGTTTGACATCCACTCAACGGTGTTAGACGCAGTGGGTCTCAAGCGACTAATCAATCATTACAAAGTGGCTGAGTCCGAGTTACCGAGAGGCATGAGCTTGGTGCAGCCGATACCGGCCACTCGTTCTTGCGTCGAAGCAGATGTGCTTCCTCATTGGTGTGCGTGCTTTGAGTGGACACAAGTGCCCTGGAGTGATCCAGCGTTCGCGCAGTCTATTCGGACGGTCGCGGACTTCGTCCACGATCGAGTCTCGGAAGATGTAAAATGTGCTAAAAGAACTGTCGCATCCATTGAGTGGGTGATGCGCTACAATTTTCAGAAACAAATCATTCAACAGAGTTATACTGAAAATGGCTTCGACAACTTTACAAACACTTCTATTGAATTCTATCAGGTTAGGCTGATAATGAGACCTGGACGTGCTATATTCGAAGGTACAGTTACGCTGTTAAAGAAACTCCGCGCTTACGTAACTACCGAGCGGGAGGTATCTCGGATCGATAGCTACAGCGACGAGGCGAAGTGCGTGTCGGCCACCCGACCGCACTTGAGTAAGTATTGTTACTGCAATGCAAACGCAAACACTGTAACACATCGTGTATTATATATTGTTATGATAATTTACTGTATTCAATGTCTATTATAAACTATTTATTTTTGTTATTCTTGTTGCGTACACACCGGGCGCGACTTGCTTTGACACCATGTCACCCTAGTGTGAACGTACTGTACACTCGAACAAATTCATTTAGCAGCACATGAAGAACTTGATACCAGTAAAAAAAGCATGTTAATCACTGCGTTTTGCAGTTCTCTGCGCAATGTCAGTGTGCATGTGTTTGTTGAGGTCCGGCGCAGGCATTAATTGTGATGTACTCACACTACTTCCTGCTCGGCTCGCTGTACCTTCGTCATAAACTGCATCTATCCATTGCTGTACAGACTACAAAAATCTACTGATATCACTTTATTTATGTGTAGGTAATGTTAGATTTCTAATATATTAATAATATTTTTTACGCTAGATTAAGTCTTATATCGAAAATAGGAGCCAGGCAGTGGTGCATAGGGGTTTTATATCTGTTTACAAATGTATCACCTCCGGTTGATCACGGCTCACATCGTGGTCCGTTGTTGTTCACCCCTTAGGTACATCAATGACATCACTATATTACTACCTTTTCTGATCTGCTAATGTATGCAGATGACACTAAGATTACTTGCCAAGTCCTTTAAACAGCTCGGGTTCATCCTACGTATGGGACAGTACTTCAAAAGTCATTTCGCATATAAAATTTTATTTAATAGCTTTGTTCGTAGTGGATTAGAGTTCGCCTGTACTGTTTACATCCCTTATATAACTCCCACATAGACAGAATTGAAAGAGTGCACTTGACAGAAAGACTGGTCATGATTATATTGATTATGAGGACTCTACAGATAGTCATAAAATCGAATTGCTCAAGAGTCGTCGTGATTACAGAGGATAGATACTGTCATTTTATATAAAATAGTCAATAATAAATTTGATTCCACACCTCTACTGAATCTTATAGATTTTAGAGTACCCCGCCAAATTGAAAGATCTTGTCGTAGGAATACACTTTTCTCAGTTAAGAGTCGCAAAAATGTTTCGTTGGCAATAGCTTTATTAGGCGATCACGTCAGACATTTATATACAAGCAGATTCGTGGATGTGGATATTTTCTGTAATTTGCTGTAAAAATTTAAAAGTAAAACGCCCTTCTGTAATTTGTTCTACATACATATTGATAGTCTTTAAGATTTCAAGTGCATTATAAATGAAGAAAACTCTAGGTCTACTTTATATATCTTCGTTAATGTAATAATAGTTTTATATCGACTGTTTGTTTCTTGAATCAATAAATAAATAAATAAAAAATTAAAACAATTTTACTGGAGCTCGAAAAAGCAAAATAAGTATAGGAACCTAAATTTTATTAAACTTGTCGTTACATAACTAAACTATTAGTTAGTCACCAAAAAACGTGGAGATCGAAGAAATTAATAGGAGATAAAATCTCAGGGGTAGCGGCTGCGGTGGCGGCGACGCGCTGATCAGGCGTTAATCAATTGTTTGATTTGCATGGATTTATAGTCATCCGGGCGTTATGCAACTGCCGTGGCGCTGATAAATTAAATAATGTTACTCAACCAGCGCGTCCGCCGCCCCGCTGCTGCCGCCGATGTCACCGATGGCGCCGCCAACATACATCGAGTCACCAATATTCATCTTGTCACCAGCGGCAGCGTCAAACCACTTTTATGTGCAGTGTTGATGTAATAGTAACACGACGGCTAACTGGATGAATGGCGCTCGACAAACGTGTTTAATTATCGCAAATAAAATGTATTTGTAATATAAGTACCTAAGTAAGTACTAGGGTGCTATAGTTGAACCATTTTCGAATTTAGGCACAAAACGGACCCGTCGTTCGATTATAAATCACTAGTGTAAGTAGGCAGGTGCTGTAAAGCTGATCCGTCTCGGCGGCGAAGGCAAGTGAGTACACGACGAGAATCGACGACTTACCCGTTGGCTCCGCTACTGAGGCCGTAGCAGTCGTTGATGCCGGCCAACACCCCTACAACGCCGGCTACGACGGCAACACAGCCGGCCCAGAGCCCAGCGCCAACCCTCGCCAGCGCCGCGCCCCGCGCCACACCCAGCGCGCCTGCGCCCACCAGCAGCGCACCCAGCACCACATGCGCCAGCCCCAACACCACCACCAGCCTCTTGCGCGTCGGCGTCTCACTGCCCGCTTCCACACTTTTCGAAGTCACACTCTGTTCCTTAATCGATTTGATCTTTTTCACTTTCGGGGGCGACTTGCAGATGAGATGTTCGGTGGAGTCTTCCGACTTGAGGCTGGACACGGTGGCGGTGGGCGCGCGACCCAGCTCGCCCGCCATGCCGACGTTCTCCGAGGAGGAGCGCTCTTCGTCGACCATCGCAACTCATCACTGTCACTCACTGCCGTCGGTCGCGGACGTGTGCTCTCCGCGTGCGCGCACTCGGGACTGCGCCCGAGCTGTTGTGGTGCGCGCGCGCAGGTGAAAGTTGTATAATCTGGCCGAGGAAATGATACAACGTTTGCGCATCCCATGTGATACTCACTAAGTTCTCTCTCGGCCACATGGTCACGGTAGATGTTACCAAAAAAGTGTAAAATAAAAAAATAGAAAATAATAAAAAGTCAAGGAAAACCTTAAAAAACTGGTATTCTTTTGTGCGAGTAACATTAAATCGATACTGTTCAGAATACTGGCGCCACGCACGTTTATAAACAAATGCGGTTTGACGAACGGGGATGAAACCACTCAAAAACTAAACAGCACTCAAGATAAGTAGTTACCTCTCTATGTATTCCGTATTACAAAGGTTACGTGTTTGATGTCAGGTTTGTTTTTGTTTGGAATCTCTAAACTGAATACTCTACGACGGATTACTACTTACGATGTAGATGTTGCCATAACACACATACATACAATTAATTATAACCTAAACAGCATAAAATAAGAGCATAAAAAAGGACGTTAGAGCGATTGCTGGTATCCCAAAGTCTGAATCTTGTAAACGGAGTTCAAAAATCTTATTGCCATTGCCCTCTTTTTATATTCATTGAACATATGTGTTTTTTTAACACGAACAACTGTTCGTAACATCATCTAATGAAACATAACAAAGATATCCTGACAGAGTATTTAGTCCTTTACCTACCTTTACGATGTAATACCGAAAACAACACAATGTGACAGAATGGTTAAAATTCATAATTAAGTATTAAACGTATGTAACTGCCTCCGTGGTCGAACCGTTACTATGCTGATCTGCCACGTAAAGGTCTGTGTTCGATTCTCGGGCCGGGTGAAATATTGTATGGTTTGCATTTATTTCTCTCGTCAGATTGAGTGCAATTTGTTGGTTATACGTGTTTCCATAGCACCCTCCATACAGGGTTTCCTCCTAGTGTCTATGAGTTATGAGTGTGCGTTGTTTATTAAATAATTTTAAAGGCCGTGCAAATAAATGTATTCCAAGTCAACGGCCAAAGTGACTAAGCTATCAGCGCAATATCATATTCTAAAATATCGTCTACTTTATTTATATTTGAAACAACAATCATATATCGAGTTCTTAGGTTTTCGCGATTGTTACACATAGGAAATGAAACTATTTTTCCGACCGTCAACCGTTTAGTCAACCGTTACCATGAGACCTGTAAAGGGCCCAAAGCGTCGGTTTGTTTGAAAAAACAAATATACACCACAATCATAATTTAATTTCAAAGTATCCGTAGGAATTTTTTACCGACTTTAAAAAGGAGGAGTTGTCAATTCGAGTGTATTTTCAAGGGTGGCAGGGATGAATCCGGTTCATTGGATTTCACCCACTTTCCGTGAACCAATGTAATTCCACAAACTCTTCAGGTGGGTTTTTGTAATAAAAAGTTATAATTATTTGATACGCATTCCGTTTTTAATGTTACTTGTATTTGACCACTTTTGCACGTCGAGTTTTTAATAGCAAACATGTCTCTTAAACTCTGACACCGTTTAATAACGTGTCACATAAGGAGGTGTGTGGTTCCCTTTCATTAATACATCATGGTCATCATCATGATGTTGTAATGAGGCAATATTACGCAGAAGTATAATATCATTGATATTACGTATACAAGGTACGTGCGGAAGCGCCGATGTCGGAGACGTAGGGCGGCGATGGACGGCAAGGACACGGCTCCCGCGAAGGCGAGAAAGTGTCTCCTCGTAACAGCAACGATTGCGTTTACGTGACAAAGACGTACGTACTTAATAATAATAATAAATGTGGTTCAAACCGGCTAACAAGCTGGGAGGAATAAAGTAAATAATAATGATAATAATGTATTGTTCAATATTTATCAGTTTCGTTAGATTACAAACTGAAGCGCTCAGCAGTACCATGCCGTCTTGGCGTAGCTAATATTGTTGATACATATGTCGTTAATATAGCAGTCGACACGACCACCGCTCAGCTCTCCTAGAAGTGCGTTTTTGTATAAGTTGAATAGCTTGGGCGAGGTTGGCCTCCCCCGCCTCACACCGCATTCCAACAGGTATGGCTCAAATTGTTTTTCACCTCATCGTACAACATTGACTCGATTGTGGTACCAGTATTTGAAAATATAATTCATTCTTAGTCATTAATAATTACCTACGTGGTATTCTTCTACGCTCGTAAGTGGTGCGGTGCGTACTGGCACCGGATAACGTCAGCTATAGAGCCCAAACGGTTCACCATATTCCGGATGACTGTCGGTCGCCCGACGCGAATCAAATTCCGTTACACGGGTACTGTTATATTCATAATCATACAAAAAATATTAACAATAACATATAGCTTAAGAATACGGCGTGCCCAACAACGACACCAGCCCGAAAGTCACCTCGAATAATCCCGTCGGATAAGGCGGCGGCCTGCCGGGCGATCATGGCGACGGGCGCGTTGGTGCTGGCGCGCACGACGGCGGGCATGGCGCTGCCGCGCAGCCGCGCGTCCAGCACCGCGCCCAAGCCGCCGTGCCCGCCGCGTGCCGCGCCGCCTCCGCCAGCCGCTGCGCGCGCTTGCTGCGGAAGTGCGTCGTGTTGGCCAAGGCCCGCACCCGCCGGATGGCCGCCGGGAACCTCTCGAGGTCCTCGGGATTTTCGAATGTGCCGGAGTAGATGAGAGGGTTGACGAGAGGGTCGGTGGAGCGCAGCCGCACTTTACCCCGGGACTTCGGCTCGAGGAGAACCGTGGCCACGACGATGAGCT